TTTTTTTTCGGGAATTTTTGGACGATGTCCGTTTTTTTTTCCCAACGGGATTCAACGGTGATTCAACGGGATTCAACGGGGATTCAACAGGGATTCAACGGGGATTCAACGGGGATTCAACAGGGATTCAACGGGATTCAACGTGACGATTTTTTTTTTGGTTCACGTACGTACAGCGTCGTGTCCGAGGCCCAATGCACCCTCCCCGTTGAACAATATTCAACGGGGAGGGCCCGTTGTACCATTCAACGGGAATTCAACGGGACCCCGGGGGCTATTCAACGGGTACAACGGAGTTGAAACTTTCCCGTTGCCCGTTGAATAGACACATAGGCGCTAATGACCCGCAGGGAGAGGGTAAGGGAGTCAGTACATGAGGGGATGGTGAGGGGGGGGGTCACTCGGGAGTGGAGGTAAGAAATTCTCCATTCCCGCTACTGTCTCCGCCAGCTCTTGATATCTGACAATGAGATGTATGCGGGGGAATCGACGACCGCTATGGGGGAGAGAAGCGAGGTAGTCGGGATAGAGGGCAAAGCCGTGCGAAACTGATCATAGTCTGCGCACGCGGGGATAGTTCCCGTGATCGTGCAGTAGACTTCGACCATGTTGTGTCCCCGCCAAGCCAAGCGGCGCTGAAGAGAAGAACGTGGCGGGAGAAAGAGGAGGAGGCGCATCTCGTGGTGGAATGCGGATACAGCGTGACAGCGAGGCGAGTGGCGTAGAAGTGATGGAAGGTGGAAGTCGGGAAGGGGTTACGAGGGAAGGAGAGCGGGGTATCGATCCGTCGGAGGGTCAGAAAATCAAGGGGACGACGGGATAACGACCGGGGACGTAGACTGATGCCCCGCATCGCCATGTGTTCGAACTGGGGGACGGGGGGAAGGGGAGGGGGAGCGGCTTTGTCGCCTCCATGCCGGTGCGCTCGAAGTCTCTGCAGGAGGGAGCTCGTCTTCGATCGTGGGCGGCTCGAGATCTCTGGTCCGGTCGTCCGGGATTGGCAAATCTGTGTCGCTTGAATGCTCTAACGGCCGCTTCCCTGCCGCTATTTCTTCCCTCCTTCGCGTGTCGCGGGATCCTCTCCTTGGACTTCCGCCTGGTCGGCCTCTCCTTCCAAACTTTCCCACTCGGATTCCTCTCCTTCTTCTTCTTCCTCTTCTTCTTCTTCTTTGCTCAACGCCCCCAACTCTTTTTCGCTGTACTCGCTATAGCTTCCCTCTTCTTCGGAGGTCTCTTCCTCCTTGTCCTCCTTCGCTGCTTCCTCCTCTACCGCTTCCTCCTTCGACGCCGTTCGGGGCTGAAAGAAGAGAACGTTGATTATGCCTCGGGGATTCAGATACTCTGCGCGCGATGGGCAGCTACCGCCTCCCCCGCGATCCTCCAGACAGGCCGACCATTGCAAGTACGGCGTTAAATTCCGCGAAAGCACGTGCGGCGCCGGATTCTCGTCGCAATGCGAGACGATGTCGGTTGGAAGATCTTCGAGCAGCTGCGGGAAGGGGACCAAGAGCTCCCACACGATCGTCTGTCGATGTCCCGGGTCTACTGTTCTGAAGATGAACCCGAAAAGGTCTCCCTCCACGTCTTTCCTCCAAGCTTGGATGATAAGCACCTCCACACTCTCACTCGCGGCGCGGTGCTCACTGTCTTGAGTGCACGTCAGCGCGATCCCAACTAGGCATAGAGAAAGGGTGGAGTACTCTTCACACCATATTTCCCATTGCAACGGCTTGATGAGCGGGACTGTAAGCTGTTGTACGCAGAAAGAGAGGCGGGGATGGAGAGCTGACTGCCAGAAGGTAGGGAAGACAGAGGGGAGGCTGAAGGTAGAGAATTGGGAGCGGTTCATTGAGGACGCGAAAAGGGGACGAGCGCAGGGAGAGCAACTGCTGGTTCGTGCCGGAGAGTGCGGATGCTGCCAGTGTCAATGTTGTTGGTATTGACGATGTTCTTCCCTCGCCGCGCAAGTAACTGGCTCCAAGACTGCGCCAATTCCTCGCCCCACTCTCTCAATGAGGTACGGATGGTCGTATGTGCTTTGGGATCCATTGTACTAAGATCCCCGCTGAAGAAGACGACTGTCGAAATGTGGCTAATTCCCGGTGCAGAGAGTCGCCGATAAGGCGATGCTTCGGCCAGCACCTGCGCCCGGCTGTTGGGGACCACAAAGCGAAATTCCGCTGCCGTGTGCACACCCGCTGTGCTGAAGAACTGCGGGAATCGGAGAACATCCGGCTGGATGCGCGGATGATGGACTTGCTGGATCGTCGAGATGTTCCCTCGTGGCGCCAACATACGTTCACTGAGGACCTGCTCCGTGGAAAAACTCATGGTGACGAGGAGGGAGAAGATGGGTGGGGAGAAGAAGAAGAATGGGGATTGTCACTCTCCCACTCAGATTCCGAGATCGACCTGGTTGGGGAAGGGGGAGAAGAAGCTGAGAGATGGCGGAGGTAGGACACGTGGCGGGCGATCAGGCGAGCCGATCGGTTGCCTGAGACTTCGGGCGCCAGTCACACCGTGTTCACCCCGTTCGGACTGAGCTTGATCACCCGAAATCGCCCGAAGAATCGTGATGCTAACTTACCTTGGTGAGCACATTTCCTCACATGCACCACGTCCCCTAATTTATACTAGGGTCGGGGTCCCGCTTTCCCGTTTCGGGCCTCGTAGCTACGGATTTGTCGTCCATGGGCCAATTCGGTCATCCGCTGTCGTTTCCGGGCCAACCTAGGGAGGGACCGTTCCATTAATTCCAAGTGTCGCTTGGCCTTGTCCCGGGCCGTTGCCCTCGTGGGTCGTCGACCCAAGGAAAATTCATCATTAAGGCTCGGTATCGAGACACATGTCAAGTTGTTGGTACGTAGTTGAAAGGGGCTTGGGCCTGTGGACTCGTGGGGTTTTCCTCGATGGACCGCCTGAATGTGGTCCACAATATCGGTTCAGGGCCTCGTATCCCTAGCCGCGATATTGCGTCGAAGGGCGGTCTTAATCACTCGATTCGCGTTTTTCTACCAGTCCGCTCGATTGCGACATGTGAGGTGCGGTGTTATGGATGGCGACCCCATGTATGACCAGGTTCCTCAAAACTTCCCCCCTAAACTCCGCCCCGTTATCCGTCAAAATTTCCTCGGTGTCTTGATGCATCCCTAGGAAACAGTTGACGTACCACGCGATTTCAGCCGCCTGTCGCGTTCGACATGGATACGCCTCGATCCACTTCGAAAAATGATCCACGAATACGAATAAGATTGAATACTCGCAGCTATTCGGTCCAGGGGGTACCATTATATCGGTCGTGTCCATACTAACTCTTTGAAAAGGTTGTTCGACTACTGCGGGCACTATCGATCTGCGCGGCTGGATCGACACCTTGTCAGCGACACGGACCTGACAGTTTCAGACGATGAATTTGACACCGTCACGAATATTGGACCAACACCATTCGTTTTTGTTGATCGCTGTTTCGATGATCCAGACGGCAAAGTGAGCTGAGGTATCTTCGTGGGCTGACTTAACCCAGTCATACCTCATGAACGGGTGCGGTACAGTCATCCAAATCCCACTACCGTCCGTCTTCCGTTTTTCCAACCGTCCCTCGTTCCATCGATAATTACGAGCCCTTTCATTGGCCCTCCTCCGGTCCTCCGTAGTGAAGTCTCGGAGGGGGTTCCCCACTACGGTCGCTATCAGGGCGACATCAGTCCAAACCTCAGCCGTTCTAAACCTTTGAGTTTTGTCTAACCCTTTTGACGTGGCGTCGAGGAATCGAGCCTCGGTCGGGATTTTATCGGTCCGACACAGGGGGCACAACCAAGGCTTATTGCCGCTTCGATATTGGATAAAAGAGCCATGGGCTCTGGACACACACTACCGACAATCTACCCATTCGACATACCCATCCCCACTAGGATGCATAGGGACCGAGTAGACCCGCGAGATCGCTTCACATAAATAACAAAATTTGTCGGGTAAGGAGAAAAGAGACGAAGACGAGAGGGGAGAGAGAGGAGCGTTGGAGTTACCTCCGTTGCCCATCGCCACGTGCTTATCCCACGGTGCGCGGGAGAACTGTCACCTGTACGTACCAGGGTCCGCTGGTTGGCTCCGGTTCTTTCCACGGGATGATCTCTTCACCTTTGGCGACCTTCGTTGGATGATGCAGTCGCGTCAACCCGTCCGCATTTTTGTGCCTCTCTGTCTTCCAATGGATGATGTCGAAATCGTACTCCTGTAGCCGCACTGCCCACCGTCCAATCATGCCCGTGTAATTTGTGAGCCTTTTGAGGGCCAATAGCGGCTCATGATCCTTAACAAGGAGAAACTTTTGTCCGTACAGATACGGATGGAAGTGCTGGATTCCCCAAACCACCGCGTAGCACTCTCCTTGCGGGGCCGAATCGTTCCCTCGTTCATCTGGTACAGTACGGGAGGCGTACTCGATGACGTGCTCGCGTCCGTCGTTCCCTTTCTGTGCTAGAATAGCGGAAATTGCCTCGGGCTGCCAATCTGTCATAAGGATGAACTGCTTTGTTGGGTCCGGCCGGATCAAAATAGGTGTTGTGGCCAGGGCCTCTTTGAGAGTGACAAAGGCCCGTTCGCACTCCGCCTCCCATCTGAGGGGCTGGTCCTTCCGTAGCAGGTTCGTTAAAGGTCGTGCGGTAGCGGCGAACCCTTTGATAAATCGCCGATAATACGAAGCCAGTCTGAGGAAGGCTCGAACCTGCGTCAGTGACGTGGGAGTCGGAGCGTCTCGGATAGCCTCGACCTTTCTCGAATCGGGCCGCAAACCACCCCGAGTCACCACGTAACCCAGAAACGAAATCTCCGGGAGAAAGAACTCGCTTTTCTCCAGCGCGATCTTGAATCCGGCGTCCCTCAAGGCTCCCAGTGTCCACTCGATGTGCTGCGTGTGTCCGTGGTAGGATTCCGGATAGACCAGGATGTCGTCCATGTACACAATGACGCAAAAATTGATCATCCCCTGCGTCAGTCGAGTCTTGTTAACAAAATTCTGAAATGTCACATTCATCGCTCGCTGGAATGTGGCCGGCGCATTACCACGTGCCTTCAAACAGAACAAAGGCCGTCTTAAGCCGGTCCTCTTCCTTAACCAGAATATGATGAAACCCGTAGCGAATATCGAACTTACTGAAGTAGTTAGCACACCCAATCGCATCCAAAAAATCATCAATCCGGGGAAGGGGGTATACATCTTTAATCGTGATATCATTCAACTTGCGATAATCGATGCACATGCGGACTGACCCATTCTTCTTTGGTACTAGGACTACAGGGAACGACCACGGTCCCGTAGCCTGGGATTGCCCCCACCGACCTGCACAACCCAGAATCGGAGCCGTGCCAAAGGCAGCGGCCCCGATCGCCAACGGACCTGGTCGAGTGGCTACGATGGTGGAAGAAACGGACAATGGTGTGAACCCGTCGGGGGTTATGGAGGAAGCAGCCGAACTTATCCCGCTTGATCAATACCAATCACTAGGATATCCGGGCCTCGGTATGATCAGGGCCATCCAGCCCGCCCCTGACCATAACGAAGTATCGGAATGGAGACCCTCCCCGAATGAGATGGAAACGGGAGGACCCGTGTTCGTTACGGGAGAAATCGACGTTCTGGACATCGTCCGAGCGTTCGACCATTGTATTCCCCTACCAATCGGACACATGTTGTCCATCTCCGAACAAGCTAACGATCGGATGCTACAGCATTGCAAGGCGACCCGAAAACGATTTGCCCTTGCCAGGCTAGCAACTGCGAAAGGGAAGGCCCCCGCCAAGGAGCCAAGATCTGACATGCCAAGCACTTCAGAGCCTGTTCGAATGGGCCTAATCCAAAAAGACGATCATTTTATACGAATCAGGGCCCTTCCATGGAAATCCGCAGAATGTGACGTGGAAGTTTGGGGAAACCCCTATAGCGCGGTCCTTGATTCCGGAGCCGCAGTCCTGGCCATCTCCTTGTGAGTAGTCGAACGGGCCGGCAGGCGGAAGGACGTGATCCCACTAGCGGAAGGCGATCATTTCGTCTCCGCTGACGAAGGCAAGATCCGAGTTATAGGGAGGATGGCGAACGTAGCCTTCCACATCGGCAATGTCAATGCCTTAGGGGACGTGGTGGTCCTATACGTGAACACATACGACGTTCCTGTCGAATTACCGACCCTCACCTCGATGCGAGCCACGCTGGATTTCGAACGACTAGCCGTTATCCTCAACAACACGGGAGGAAACCGTACACCATCCCGATTCGTCTCACTCTCAGGACAACCTCGATGGTCGAGCGACAACGACAAGAACCTGGCACGATTCTGAGAATGATACGATGGGAAGAATCCACGGATGACTCCGACACTGAAGGAAATGAGGCTTCCTTGCCATCAACCACCTCCAAAAGTGAGGAGGAGAACGACCCGCAGATTCTCGAACTAACACGACGGATAATCCGTTACCCGGTTCGACAGAAAACGACGAAGACATTCGTATTTAGCAACAAGGCAGCCCAACGAACTCGGACCCTTATCCTGGGAGAACCGTTAGTACAGGTGTCACGGATGCCCGATTCTTTGGAACCCCCTCGGACCCTATACGAGGGAGCTGCCCCACTGCTACCACGATACTTAGACACAAACGATCGTTTTGTGATGTTATGGACATACCTCCCCGATCGCTTCTCACCATGGAAAAAGAAGTGAGATTGCTGCGCCTGGGAGTGGAGACACAGGCTTCAGAACCCCCTGGGTACCCCGAAGCCTCGCTGTTTGAGATGGGAATTCAAATCGCCGAAAGGCCGATAGAGTCCCAAGATGTCGAGGACGGGATAACCCCCGAAGAACACGTGGCCATCCGAGAGGAGAAGCTCAGATAGTCGCCACCGTGTTCTCGTGGCTGTCGGACAACTCCTTTATCTCCTTCCCGCCTCCACGGGACGCGAGGATGATGCGCATGAAACACGTGATGATCGTTATCCACGGGCAACCCTATGAGTTACACGTGCCACAATAAGTACCCGACGAAACACACCGCCTGATTGCGGAAATCCTAAGGGAATATCAGGGAGCGGTTAGCGTAACGGACACGGACATCGGACTGTCACTAATCATCCAACACGAGATTAAGACAGGAAATCACCCCCCTATCCATTGCAAACCGTATCGATATTCCCTCGCTGAACGGAAAACGGCCCTACAGAGGATTAGAGAGTTCGAGGCTAACGGATGGATTGAGCTGGTCCTGGCTGGTGGCACGTGTAACAAACACTTGTGTTGGCCGCAACCCCTCTTACTGCTGGGGCGGGGGCTGCTCCTTGCATTCCTGGGGCTGCCCTAACGGTAAGGAGACGCATCGACCTCATCATCGATTCGATCCGTGCGTTGTGCTTGCGTTGCTCCTTTTGCTTTCCTGCATCAAATTAACTAACGTTCGAGTTAATTCTAATATTGCGTTGGATTCGCTAGGCTGTGCAGGGACATTCGAGGGAGACGAAAGTGTGATCGCGGTGGGTAACGCTGTGATTGTATCGGGTATCGGTTTCTTGGCCGCGACCTGTTCTAGGTAGGTAACGGGTCCGGAGACGAAACCCATATTCTCAAATTTGTTCTGAGTGCTGCCAGCTCAGCTTTGCCCGAGCCAGCTCCGAGGAATCCCCGTCTCTGGCATGATCCTCGCTTTCCAAAAAGCTGGCGGCAAATTTATTTTCCATCTCCTCGGCTCCGTCCATAATCTGCTGCATGGTGTGGTTGATGGGGGAAAACTGCTTTCGCAGTTTGGCCCTCATCGCTCGACTTCGAAGCCCGTCGATAAATAAGTCTCTTCCTACCTTTCCGTCTCTCTCGGATTTGACAAACAGCGTATAGAACCTACTACGGTATTCTGTTACGGATTCAAGCGGTTTCTGCACACGATCTTTGATCATAAAGAAAGCCTGTTCAGGGTGGATGTAATCGAACCGATTTAGGAAGTCTCTCTCGAAGGTCGGGAGATCAATCCAAGCGTTGGTGCTAAACCAATGGTGCGCATCTCCTCCCAGTCTGGCGAGGATGTTGATCCGGGCTTCATCGTTATCGTACTGTTGAGCCTGTAGGGTGGCCAGCCATGCCCCGGCTAGGTGATGCGCAGGGTCGAAGAGATACAAATCAGGGGGAGCCGCAGGTGTGCGAGCTCGGACAGGTGGGGCGGGGACAGGTGCCTCGCCCAACTGTACATTAACGTTTGGCGCTTGATTGACGTTCATATTGACGGCCTGTCTTCCGACCGATCAACTCATAAGTACTATAGGATCGTGTCAAGGCGCATTCTGCTGTCTAGGTCGTCCTCTATTCGCCAGATCGTCTGAGCGCCTACCCTGCTTACTTCCTTGTGATCTCGCCACGTGTCGGCTCCGATACCAACCTCACGCCCAACGCGACTTCCTGATCGGAGTGGGATGGGGGCCCGGGAGTGCGAAAAGGGGTGTGCCAAGGATTTTTGGGGATTTGGGGTGGAGTCCCAGGTTTGAACTGAGATCTCCTGTGGCAAGCTTCTGGGGTAGGAATGCAAGTGTCTTTTGGCTCAGAGTTAAGGCGATGATCGATCGTGCTGCCTGAGTCGGGGTGGGGTGTTACGAGCGTTCTTGTGGGAGTGTTCGTACCGCTGCTGGCCGTCACAAGTCTCGGGGTCAGACGAAGACGAGCTGGGCTCTCGTCGCTCGGTCCTAGGATGGGCTCGTTGCGCGTCCCTCGCCTGCCGATGCTCGTTGGGCTGCCGACACTCCGAGCACGGCGGGCGGGGCCAAAACCGGGCTATGGAATCCCTGGGCACCACGAGTAACCGGTGGTAAGGGAGGACGGTACAGTAGGGAGGGAAGTCAGTGGTGATGGCAACGAAGCCTGGGGTTAGAAGATATTTCTGGTTTCGGCTGTCCGGATAATCGGGAATCCGTGGGTCTCGGTTGATTGCCAGTTGGAAGTCACCCCTGCACATTCGCTCGTTTTCAGTCCGGCAGGGGTACTCAAGGTACCAAGCATTCCGTAGGTGGCGATGTTGTCGGATCCGCTGTCGGCGGATCTGTTCCCTCTCCCAATACGCTCGGTATTCAGGGTCCCTCAGGCTTTCGCGATCGGTGATCCAGAAAGGGGGATCTATCGCCATGTCTCGTTCAAGTGAACTCATGCACACACATCTTCCTACGGGGCGAGGTCGTAGCTGGCTTTTGCAGGCGCGCGTGTAGATGGCAAGTCCGCGGACGACTGCTGTCTTACACGCGCGTGCGTACCGGCCAGTTGGTCAGATCCTAAACCGCGCAAATAATCAAGGAACGATCCGTCGGCGTACTGGTTCAACCATGCAGCTAGTTCCCTCAGGCTATCCATCTTGTTCCGTTTTGGACATTCACAAAGCATGCACACCCCGCGGTCCCTGTATGGCGTCGGGACCTTAATTTGTCCCGACTTGTATCGCCGATGGAGATTCCGTCATCCACATCGAGATCTGTCGTGCTAAGTCCATTCGGGGTTGCGGGCCGGCCTCGTGGGTGCGCGTGTAAGTCGCGCTCGTCAGATCGCACTTGCACGGGGGCTCGCGGGGTTGGTCCACTATGGATCGATCTATCAGCCAATCACCTATGCAAAAAAAAAGGTTCATGTAATCATGCAATAATCTCTCAGCTATTTTTGTTTGAATGAAAAGCAGTTATGTGGCCATCAGGAGGACATCTCATCGCCATCCAGACATACATCGAAGCACTGTAACAGTATCAGACCCCTTTCTCCTACCAATCATCCGGGTGAGAATAGATCGGCGCTGCGAGCGCTGGATGATTCAGGATTACATGCAAAACATCGGGTATTCAAGCATTACAAGATCATCAGATCCATCTCATCAAGCGAATGCAAAACGAAAGAGGGAGGATAGATGTTGAGCCGTACATCATACAAAGCCGAAAGAAATGCAAAACAAGGGCGTCTCGCCGGGAGCCAAAATTTTATATACAGGGACTAAGAAAAGACAAAGAAGATCACAATCCCACATCCATCTGTTTCCCCTCTCTCTCTCTCTC